CCCCCCCCCCCCACAACACTTGCTGAAAAAAAATAATTTCTTGCTTGTGTACGAGGTCCTTTTAGGATGCTGCCACATTCGTACTGTATATGTGTACTGTTGCTTAAGTCAACTCCGTTTCTTCTCCCCCACCCCACCCACACGCCCAAACATACCTCAGATGCCGAAATAAGAAGTTTGACTACCAGCGTTTACCCACAACCTCCGTGGTCATCGCCTTCTACAACGAGGCCTGGTCCACCCTGCTGAGGACAGTGCACAGCGTGCTGGAGGCCACGCCCGCCATCCTGCTGAGAGAGATCATCCTCATTGACGACTACAGTGACCGAGGTCCAACATTCTGCACTGATAAATCAACAAATTACTTTTTCTTTACTTTACTTCCTTTCTCTTGTCTGTAAAAAATAAAACTGGCAGAAAGAAAACCAACGTCTTTGAAGCTCAGAAACAAAGAGGAGCGCTCAGAAACAAAGAGGAGCGCTCGTTAAGTGAAGCGGAAAAACCAAACCTCAGTCGTGCCTTCTTCACAATGACGGCGTAAAAGAGAAGGAGTCGAGCAGGACTCTGCTATATATAGAATAAGGAGGCTATCTCTGGAGCAGTGAATAGATGATTACTCTGGATATATTCATAAAGCTACTACAGAACTAGTCTGGACACATTCCTGTTGTTGATGAAATAAGGTGTAGCCTTACTTCAAGCCATACTAGAAGTGGTTTGCTTTGTTTTTCCTGCTATTTTTTCTGAAGATAACAATGCAGGGCTTTCTCCTTCAATCATTATCAGGAATGAGAAAATTCTTTGCAATTCTTTACTAATTGCAAATTATTCCTGTCATTTCCCTGCTCTAGCCTCTGCTTGTTTAATGTGAGGGTTTCTTGTAATTGCAGGCTGTTATATTCAGGCCATTTTCTTTTAAATTAAAAGACAAGAAGGCAAAAATGAGAAGTACTGCACAACATTCTTGAGTGTTGAACATAGCAATATTCTTTCTATGGTCTAAAATAGGTTCAACTCAAAGGTCTACTTACTAGCTTTTCTGAGCTTTCAACTGCGTCTCACTGCCTCAAATTAGAAAACTCTGTGAATGATGCTACTTGGTCTCAAAAAACTGGAGACAGGAGGAGCTTTCTGTCCGTCCGTCTGTCTTAATGGAGTCAGTATAAAGTCCCAGCTAGTCTATCGGAGGCATTACACCATAATGATTACTTCAGTGTGCACTGAGCTGCCATGACATCGTTTCCTCTCCTCTGACTACCCTGACCATGCTAGACATGCCCAACCAGAACACCTACTGCAGACAGACAGACACACACACACACACACACAGAGACTGAATATTATAACTTTAATGTTACAAATTCTGATTATGTGTGTGTTTGTTATGAAAAAAATAGGCTACCTGAAATCCCAACTAGCTGACTACATCAGTAATCTGGACCGCGTGCGGCTCATCCGCACCAAAAAAAGGGAGGGTCTGGTCCGGGCCCGGCTCATTGGGGCCACCTACGCTACCGGGGACGTTCTGACGTTTCTGGATTGCCACTGTGAGTGTGTCCCCGGTTGGATTGAGCCTCTGCTGGAAAGGTGGGTTCAACAAAATTAGATGAGTAAGAGCTTTCTGGAAATCAAAACCAAATACTAAACCAGAGATATATATATATATATATATATATGTATTTTCTCCCTGTTTCCTGCATGTTATTGGCCATGCGTTGCGGGTTAGGATCGGCGAGAATGCCGGTACCATTGTGTGCCCCGTGATCGACACCATCGACTGGAACACCTTTGAGTTTTACATGCAAACAGACGAGCCGATGATCGGAGGTTTCGACTGGAGACTCACCTTTCAGTGGCACTCAGTCCCCGAAGTGGAACGCAAGAGGCGCAAGTCTCGCATCGAGCCCATCAGGTGACGTCATGATACTTCACCAGCTCTGATCTCACGGAGGTCACTTTATAAGTTTGGCTTGTTAAGCACCTTTCACTGCTACTTTGTCACTACGTGTTCTCTTACCGTGTTACTTACTTTCTACATTTCCACTTACATTTAAATTAGTTGATTTCATGTGATGTGCAGGTGTAGTTAAAGGCTTATTTGAACAAACAAGGTGGTTCACACCGTCTTAAAGCGCTGTATTAGACAGTTGAGGAACTAAATAAGCTAGCGATTTAAAGAAAAGGACTAAATTATTTTCTGTGGAAGGGAAGGTAGGATTGAAAATGACCATTATGCCGTCACCTTATTTTTCTCTGTTTCTACCAGGTCTCCGACAATGGCGGGTGGTTTGTTTGCTGTGAGCAAGGCCTACTTTGAGCACCTGGGCACATACGACATGGGCATGGAGGTGTGGGGAGGAGAAAACCTGGAGCTCTCCTTCAGGGTGAGTTCAGTTCTCCACAGAGTCACTACTACTGCGATGCTACTAGCTTTAATCTAGCTTTCTCACCGAAATCTCTTTCTCACAGACAGACAGAACATCCACTGACTCAGCGTGTTTGTTACTGTGACAAAGAGCAGAAAGAGACATCAATGAGGTTGATTTATTTTTTTAATAGGGTAATGCCCCTGATCCTTCTAACAGCTGACAGTCGGTGGGTAGTTGGAGTGAGAGAGACGCATGTCGGTGTCAGATCACAGTCAGCCATCTGAAACTACACCCTGATATCGGCTGATACCTTGTTGTGACATTGGTGTCGCTTTACACTTGTTTGCGTCAATCAAATTGGCCCAGATTTTCAGGTGTGTGGGTTTGTAGCAGGAGTCAAAGGAAGGCAATGCAAATGGTGTGTGTGCATGATTTATAGTGTGTATGTGGTTTCAGTGTGAAGACGAATGGGCCGTTCCCCTGAGTGATGTGTTATGCATGTGGAAATAAAAATTCCCCTCGCTGGGACATTTTGCCATACATAATTTATGTTCAGTGAATTGGTTTTCAACCCTGAGTGCTAAAATAAAAATATATATGGTGCAGGGTAAAATGCTGGGTGAATTAAGATGGAAGGGACTGTCATGCAATGGCTGCTTGGCTGTGGATATATGATCATGATTTAGCTTTGTTTGATTGGAACATAGCTCATAGCTTCAAGTAGTAACAAACACCGTGTTAACAACCTTTCATTCTTTTAAAGGTGTTGTCTGTTTTTCCTTTTTGTTTTTCCACCCTTGGAAGATTAGGCAATTATACAATGCAAATTTATAGCATAAATCCAAGCTGTTCTTAAAATGCAGCCTCCTGACTCAAGAACACAGAGTGGGGCTGGAGGTAGGAAGCTTTGTTTGGCATTCAGAAAGGATTTCTGGCATTGAATCAGTCACACTGTTCAACACCCATCGAGCAGATCTACTGCAAATGACTCATGTCAAAAAGGTCCTAATTCATATTTACACATTTTACCTGCTAGTTTATTGGCAGGTAATTCAAACTTGAATGACAGACAAAGTGATAAGCACCAGCGGTACATTTAAGTGCCAAAGTTCACGAGTTGTCAGTTCATATCACACATGGTGTACAATAGACAATGAACTACTTGGTTAATGATCTGTGTAACTGCTGAGTCTCTGTGTGGACTTTATTGTAAGAGCCCATGTGGAACAATGACGTACAATATATGCTGGTATCTATATCCATTATTCTCTATTTATTGATATTTTATCTTGTAGTGGTTATATAAATATCAACTGAACAGAAAGAGTTTGATAAAGCTGCTCTGGGGGGAGTATTTAACCACACAATATTTGTTTACCATGAAGGTTATGATGTTAAAGGAAACAAAAAATGATCTCCTAATTGCATGCCATGTGTTTAACCCCCCCCCCCCCCCCCCAGGTGTGGCAGTGCGGGGGCAGCCTGGAGATTCACCCCTGCTCTCACGTGGGCCACGTGTTCCCCAAAAAGGCCCCTTATGCACGGCCCAACTTCCTCCAGAATACCGTACGAGCTGCGGAGGTTTGGATGGACTCCTATAAACAGCACTTCTACAACCGGAATCCCCCAGCCAAAAGGGTAGGACAGCTAGGACTTAAAGGAACCACGTTTCTAAACAGTCTGTCCAGCTAGACGCTGTGATGCTGCTGTGAGGAATGCAAGAAGCTCACCTAAAAATACTCTCTGGATCATATTTGGACACACAGATTGTCGTGGCGCTGAGCTCTTTCTTGTTAAAGGCAGGGTTTTTTTTTTTCACCGTTGCTTACCCGCTGAAAGTGAAAGCTTACACAAAAGCATCAGAACCGTAACTTTTGTAAACACGACTTAAACAAATGCACCAGAAGTACAAAAACACATTTTCTGCTTTGCACTTCGCAAACACACGTCTTGCAAAAACATGACACACTTTTTCTTACATGAGACAAACACGTTTGAGAGAGAGAGAGAAGAGGGGGACAAGGGATGACGTTGCTTGTGATGTGGCTTGTGGGTAGAGTTTTGAAACAATGAGCCGAATTCCGCAAGTGTGTAAGAAATCGCCAAAAAACTGTAATATGGACTTTAGATTTAGATGTTTGATATGATACGATTCACCTGTCTAGGTGTCAACAAATGATGAAACGCTGTCTGACGTGCTCATACGTATGTGTGAGATACGTGCACGGAGATTTATTGTAGAATAAGTTTTCCCAGAGGATTCAAATCTTATTTTTGTTTAGAAAATATTTTGCTGACATAAACAATTGAGGAATTCAGTTTTGAATTCCTCAATTGTTTATGTCAGCAAAATATTCTCTGTATTCTGAAAGTTAGTGACTGAAGTAGTGTTCCCGTAGTTACATTCCACCCTCAGGCAGCGCAAAGGTGTAAGGGTGTTTTAATGCTCTGGACTTTGGATGCCTTAAGGAGTTCCCCACCTCAGCAAACACAGCGATCTGATAATGTCCTGGTGTAGACGACATATCCAGGATGTAAAAATGTACTTTTAAGGTGTGACTGTTTAGTTTTACCGGCTTCAAATAGATCACAAAATAAAATACTGCATGTGCCACAAACGAACAGTGTGTTTTGTAATAAATAAAAGTCAAAGGGTAGAGATGAAATGATGTTGTCTGTGTTCTCAATAACCTTTGGCCTCCTCTCTCGCTTCGTGAACGATGACTTATTCATTGTGTGCTGACTTTCCAGGAGACCTATGGGGATATCTCGGAGCGGCTGCTGCTGAGGGAGAGGCTGACATGCAACAGCTTTGACTGGTATCTGAAGAATATCTACCCGGAACTCCATGTTCCTGAGGACAAGGAGGGCTGGCACGGGGCTGTGAGTGTCTGCTATCAGTGGTCCATTATTTGTCCTGTTACAATCGCAGTGCAGCGTCAGCGTTTCATTCACACTAATCGCAGATCAGCCTAGTTACGGAAGTCAAGAAGAAAAGGCATTACAGTTGTATCTTGCTTTCTTTGTTCCATTTATTTCTGAATTGGATGTTAGCGTGGGTCAGGACATGGGGAAAGTCCTGCTGAAAGTGAGAAGGCTGCACTCAGACAAAGTGCTTTGAAAGCCATAAAGATCCAGTCACCTGGTGGAGTATTCCATTGTCCATTCATAGATCCACCACTTTGCCATGTTGCCACTTGTTTCACCGTAACAACTGTGCGGTCGCATGTTCCACGTAACCATGGCATTGCTCAAATATCTGGAATGGTATTGTTAGCAATCATTTGTACGGACGCACCAATGACGTAACATGAAACTACGGCATTTTCTCAAATGTATTGTTCTCCTCCTGCCAGGTGCGAAGTTTAGGAGTAAACACGGAGTGCCTGGACTACAACTCCCCAGAGCACAATCCCACAGGTGCCCACCTCTCTCTGTTTGGCTGCCACGGCCAGGGAGGCAACCAGGTACATTTCGCGCTTGGTTTACTTCGTCTTTCTCCCTCCCTCTCATGCACCTTTATTCTCTCTTGTCACAATCTCCTGGCCCAGTGGGAGATGCGACTTGAAATGTCAACGCTCTCTTCTAACCCTTAAGAAAACGAGCTGCCACAGTTGATTCACAAAGGAAAATTGCTCTCTGCTGGTGTGTTCACCATGAAGGAAAAAAGAGTGTGGAATTGCACCCACATAGACCCCCCCAATATTGGGACAATTGAATCAAATGTGCTTTTAAACCGAATGCCTGCCAACTCCAGTGACGGATGGTTTAGCAACCAGCAGATTATTTGTCTGTGAGAATGTATATTTAATGTAGGAGTCCGACAATAGGCAGGGCTCCTCTCCGTGAATCTGCTTGATATCTCCGCTTACCCTGCTGCTGCGCCCGCATCAGGTGTCCCCAGTCACAGAAAAAGCACCACGTGTGACTGAAAATCAATGTTTGGATGGCTCCCCTCTGAAACAAAAGCCTCGAAGGCCCTTCATCGCCTCCCTCCCGCTCCTCATTCCCCGGCCCACACAACAACCACGTTCCATTTAAGAGACACATGAGCCTCGTCGGCAGAATCAATGGCACAGCCTGAGTAAATAAGTTTAAAGCCAGACAGGGGGGGCCCTGAGTGAGTCTTTTATTAGGAACGACTATTATGGGCCCTGTTGCACCTGAAAGATGTATGAGATGTAAAGAGAAGGATGGGGGAAGATTGATTACTTGACCCGCCGTTTAACGGGAAGCCCGGGGAGTGTTGCATCTTTTGTCCCGAGAGGCCAGGATGTTGAATTGACACCCGGAAAAGGGGAAAGTTGGGTTTGTGTTCACGTCTGGTTGATTGAGAGGGCCAAGGCCCCGTCTTTACTGATGAGACGCCTTGACGGACACCATGACACGCCATGCAATGGTGGCTCAGTGAGGACTTGATCCCACAGCAGCATAACAGGACAGCATCGTGTAATCCTGGTAGGAGAAAACATGCCAGAGAGCACTATTGTGCTGTTTAATCTCTCTTTTTTTTGTATTAAGATTAAGCCTTTAAAGTAGAAAGAGAGAATGCACCAAAACAATTCGAAAGGAGGTGGAGCTTCACTCTCAGGCACTGCCGTTTCTGCAGTTTGGTTTCTTTCCAAAGTAGTTTCCTTTTCATGGCAAAGATGCACAACCACGCACATTCATGCTGTATGTGCAGAGCAAATAACCCACATAAACCAGGTCTTTTCTTCTGCTCCAGTACTTTGAATACACGACTCGAAAGGAGATCCGTTTCAACTCGGTGACAGAGCTGTGTGCCGAAGTGACCGAGGGACAGACCTCCATCAGTATGAGTCACTGCCCCAGTGACGGAGAGCTCAAACCTCCCAGTATCACCTGGGACTTCAGAACGGTAGGGGTTCACACTCTCACACATACGCACAAGTATCCGTTGTTCCTCAAGACTTAAACCTCACACACACAAACTATCCTACCTGTAATCTAAACATTCTCCTTCAAACCTGTCAGGACGGGACCGTCTACCACCCTCACTCCGACATGTGCGTGACAGCCTACCGCACGGCAGAGGGCCGCACGGACACTCAGATGAGGCGGTGCACCCCAGGAGACAAAAACCAGCAGTGGAAGTTTGAGTGGTAGGAGAAGGAAGTAGCAGGGAACCTCAAGTGACCTTCGTTCACCATAGTGCAATTAACTACAGAGGATGTCCTCCAGCGGGGATGGCTGAGCAAATGAAAGGTGGTGAAACAGTCACTTTAAGCCAATGAGTCGCCCAATTCAGAGCTTTTGTAGCCGTTTGAGTGACTGAATAAGTGCAGGTCGTGGCAGAATGAATGAGAATTGCAAGGCGAGGCTTATTTTGACTGCCTGAACTAGTGACTTTTACTTTTTTATGTTGCTTCATCCAAGTGCCTCTGCAACCAAAATGGAGTGAAGGGCACATCTGAAGTGTCCTTATTGTCTCTAATGCAACAACTTGAAAGCAGTTGAACTGATTCGACTGTCCCAGCACACGAAGAAGTGTCTTTCAAGGAGGCCGACGTATTTTCTAGAAAAAAATGACACGCAAAATCATGCTGCACTATGAAATGTTACCTTGATGTGCAATTAAGATGAATTATTATTGTTGAATGAATAATGTTTGTGAAGTTGTCAAAAAAAACAGTTTTAAAGACGGGCTGCTCAGAAGACGTGCCAGGAATGTTCGGTCAGCAGCATTCAGCCACAAACCAGCTACTTCCCGACATGCTTCATCATGTGAGGGGGAAACGGAGAAGAGAGCGCTGCGGTCACACTAGACCGTGTCTCAATTCTATCTCGTGTCTGCGGAGCCAGTTCCATGGTAGAATGCTGCCCGGACAAGACCTGAAGCATTCGTTAAGCGTTTGCACTAAGTGCAATTTGCCCCAGAGGGCTTAGTGGGATGACAGGAATGTTTTTTTTTTTTTTTTTTTTTTTTTTTTTATCTATTCTTCCCTGTTGTGTAAAATCAAGAAGACCCTCTAAACTCATCTGTCACTGTGCCTTGAAAGGTTGTCAAAAAAAACAGTTTTTTACCGAGATGAAATGTGCCAGAGAATGTCGAATGTATTTAGAAATGTGTTTAAATGCTAAAAACTAAAACACTGTCTTGATGCATTTGATTTTTATTTTGACACAAAAACCCTTAAAAGGGAGAGCCATTTTTAATTCAATCGTTCCACTTGCCAGTGCCGGACTGTTTTAAGACTCCTGTGTGTAAACCGTACTTGAAGCAGCATCCATAAAACACTCCTGTTGGTTTTTCTGCTGGGATTCAATGACCACGAGGTTCATAGTAACTGTTGTGGAAATGTTTGTCGAAATTGCAGCTGAATTTGCCGAAGACTGCTTATCGCTGTTTGGCGTCTGTGGTCCTTTTTGAAATCATGAAAACGAGACATTCATACTAGTCAGTGGATACAGGAGGTGAACATGTACCATGACGCCTGTTTGGTGTTACCTTTGTAAATAATGTTTGTTTTAAGGGACCAAAGTGGGACAGTGCACCTTTTTAAAACTACTGATAATGCAAAAGGGATGGGGACGATGATGATTATTTGATATGAAGAAGAGGGTGACTGGAAATGAGATGGATGTTTAAATGATGATAAAAGCTGTTGGGATGATTGAGAGAATTAAAAAAAACTAACCACAGATGCACAGTGTCGCTTTCTTTGTTTCTATCTCAGCGCAGTAATGCGACGGCAAACATCTTTTATCTTGTTCGCTGGTGCAAGCGATGCCACACACAGCAAAAGAGAAAACTAAGCTGTTCATTACCTGTTCATTGTGTGGAAGCGTGAATGACGACATGAAACGGATGTGTTCATTTACTAAAGACTGGCATTTAAAAAAAAATCTGCCACAGCATCTAAAGTGCTCCTTCCGCTCAGACTGGGATTTCAGTATTCAGTCATTTGGCACCACCTACTGGTAGAAAAGCGAATAACACTGACTACTGAAGGCAGCCAATAGTCCTTTCACTGGCTCCAGGTCAGGGGGGGAGTTGAAATGGTGGTGGAAACCACTGAGACCAAATGGTGTAAGATTACATTCATGTTTTAGTTGTGTATTGTCCACATTGTTTTCTGTCCGTGGTTTCAGATAATGATTCGTCACTGTAAGCAACAATGTACAGTGCATTATTGTTTATTCTGCCTGTAATTATTTAGATTCTTCGTTATATTTGGCTGCAGATGCACAGGCTCACGCCGCACAGATCTGTGTTCATGCTATAAATAGTATGGTGATTGTTGACTACTGTATCCTCTTGATGCAGCTGTCCTCGTGTGACTGCTGCATTAAGGTAATCTTCATCATCTCCTTCACGTGATTCCTCTTCCTCCAGCTCTGAGTTGTCTCTTACACGGAATCTGTAAAACATTTGATTCATCTATCTGATTGAGTACCGGCCTCTATTGAAATACTGCAGCAGCACAACAGAAAACTGATTGACCCTGTCGTACCTCATGTCATTCAAATCCATCTTTGATTGCTTAATAACAGCCTTTGGCCAAATCCCGTTTCAATGTGACTTATTTATTTCCTTTTCAGGACAGATTTAATGCTTTGAAAACTTTGAGTTGTGCTGCTTTTTGCTCCAGAGACACTGCACGCGTGGCGTCCCATCCACTTCTCCAAAGGCAGCCGTCTAGTCTTTGAGTGGGAAACCCTTATTTTGCTGATTGAAGGAAGCACACATTCATGCAAAGTCATCCACACACAACCGACATGAGGTGTGACAGACAGGCTCAGCTACTTGTGTCAGAGAAAAGTTAATGAAAGCCTTGGTTCAGTTAAAAGCTCATCAAGGTTGGTCCAGGTAATTGTTCTAATTGCCTGTTTCACTCCCTGTTGGGTGACTTTCAGGTTTATAATAGTTAATGTGTGTTACAACAGAGAGGATCCTACCTTACTAAAGGTGCATATGCAGTTCACCATTGTTTCCTTTCCCTATTAATATGTTTGCACCAAATATCTGTTGCATGGAAAATGTTTTCCATCATTCGGTCCTGAATGAAAACGACCTCATGCATTGACATTAATATTGTGTTTCTGACAGACACGACAAGCCCAGTCTACTGTGATATATTACAACACTCCGGCTGACTTGTTGCCTTCCCGTGTCTCTTTGTAGTTTTCTCAATATGAATACTCGATCAAACACAGTATGCCACTCAAATTACCTTCTCGCCTTGGCCTTAATTATTTACAATTCTAATTTGCTTAACATTACATTTTGTGTCGAATTTCATCTTTGGTGTCAAGGGTTTTGATATCAGTTTCATATGAGTGACAACTGGCTGCATAATAAAGAAGACCACCAAGATAAATGATTTCCAGGTTTGGGTACTGGGTTCTCCCAGGGTCAGTGAAGAGGATTCAGAGTGGTTTAGAGCTTTGGGGTATAAAATGTGTCTTATGTGGGGCTGGGGTCATGTTAAAGAACTGTACCAGAGTGTACAGTAAACAGTTAAAATTAGTAACATGGCCCACATAGGTTTATTACATGTTAGGAACCGGGAATAAACCAATAAACCAACTCTGTGTTTCTGTTATTTGAGAAAACACTCATCGGAACATCAACTCAAAGGGTCTGTTCGTGATTAAATATCTCGGGCCATGATACCCCCCCCCCAAAAAAAAGGTAACAAAGATTTACCTGCTACTACACTGGTTTTAAACTTTAACCTTATCAAGTTACAGGAGCGAATATATTGAACTTCCTGTTCTACTGTTTCGCATTCAAAGTAAAAGTGCGTTGCAATCCCAGGACCAGAATGAAAATTACAACACCTTCATTTTTCAAATTAAATCGACCACGAAAACAGAAACACACACACACACACACACACACACAT